GACTCTTCACCTTCGAAGGCTTCCAAGCCTGCGAAGCTTCCAAGACGATGGACAAAGCTGCCGAAGCTCCCCTTCGTGATGCTGCCTGCGTCCAGGTCCGAAGAACTCAGCAAGACTTTTCGAAGCCTTCCAAGGTCGAACTCTCCGAGAAATCCATGTAGGAGGTGCGAACATGGAGTTTTCCAACCTTTCTAGGGGATGTAGAGTGACAACGTGACAACTACAAATTCTCTGTTGAACCTCTGGAGACAAAAAAACCAACGTTCACGGACTCATAGTTTCAAGATTGCAGGTGTGCCAAGTTGTGGAGCAGATGCCGGGCAACTGCTCCGGAATTGCATTTAGAGGTGTTGAGTGTCCAACAATTGTCAATTCAAAAGCTCTTGGGCATTAATGGGCTCTTGACGTTTTTTTGTATTTGGTCGGAGGATTCCAACTTACTTGTGTGGCAGCAGTGCGTTCGACATGCAAATGTCAAACACGGAGAAAAAAATTGCAAGTCGTCTTTGCCAGCAAGATCGTTTCATTGCAAACGACGAGATGATGGGTTCCGTCGGAAACCGTTTACGTCTTTACGTCCATAGTTCAGCTTGTCAATCACGCCGACGCCAACCCTCACATCTCACGATTCGAAACCACATGGATCCAAGTGCAGCTTTGGCTCTGTGAGTGTGTGTGTGTGTGTTGTCACATGCGAACACTATATATTGTCATTTTTGTCACGACGGAAATCGTTGAGCAAGTTCCTGCCGACTCCTTTTTCCAAGCATCCAACGCCTCTCGCGTTGCATGTCCTCTTGTTCGGCAAGCAATGTCGGAAGTGGGGGACCTAGTGTGCCACGCAAGCCGCGCATCTGACTGCCGTCACAACAGTTTGTCGGCAAGCCTGTGAAGTTCTGTGTCCATGGGTTTAAGTGTGCTGGTCCCCAAACCAAAGAAACCGCGTGGAAACATCTACACACACAAGCAACAGCAAGTAGTTAGATGTGTGCAACAAAATATATAAATACGTTCAATCAGGTACTTGTGTTGGGAAAGCAAAGCCATGCTCAACAATTTGGCACTAAGCACAACATTTTCGACACGAACAAATAGTACACACACATGTACATGTGTAAATATGAATATACACATATACTACATATACACGTTTACATATATACATACATACATATATGCATATATACATATATACATAGATGCATGGACACATAGATACGTAGATACAGAGGTTTATAAGCAAAGATAACATATATACACATATATGTTCACTTCTACACATGTGTATATACAGATACACTATATATATATATATGTATGTATGTATGTACGTACGTACGTACGTACGAATACCTCTCTCTATATGTATATACACACATACATACATTTTTACTAGATATATGTAGAAACACACATACATATACGCGTATACAAGTACGCATACACACTGCAAGAAGCAGAGGTTGATGTCGATCCAAGCACACCCGAAGTGGGTTACTTGGACGGCAACTCGCCGAAGGTCCGCTACTTGTTTGGATTCGGTCTTCACATAACGGTATCCATCAAGCCGCGTGCCAGGTCATCAACAATGACAGCATCTACTTGATTTTAGGACAGGGTGAGGGCATTGTGGTTCTGAAATCATTCCAACCACACAGAAGCCAGGGCTGGCAGTTGCCATCGTCATGGGTTGCTCGATGCTCAACTCTGTTGGTGCTTGCGGAGATTTCCCACTTTGAAGATTGATCCACCAAGGCCTTTTGGATAGATTGTCGACTTTCAAGCACTTCAATGCCACGTACCCGCACATGTCAACGAGCAGATCATCCACATCTTTGCTTGTCCTTGCAGTTTTCAAAATCTGTCAAAGTATGCCAAAGACAAGGCGAAGAACCGAGAGCCGTTCTGGGTGAGGGACTCGGTAGCTCTGCCGCTTGATCACGAATTGCGTGATTCGAACTTCCGAAGGTGTTGCTGCTCGTGTTGGTGAGCTATGGATATTTGATTCCAGGCGGAGCCAGTTTAACTCAAATGTCGTTTCTCGACACTTTTGCCGAGCAGGTTTGGTGGAAGTGCTTTTCAGCTTCAATCTTGTGTTTGACACTGGGGCAGGTGCAGTGTGCTCAGTTCGTGACCATGCTTGGTTTTGCTCCAAGTAAGACTTGACCCAGGGTTTCTTCGGCATTGGACCCGATGCCGGATTTAACCACGCGCCGACGACTCGAAGACCCTTGCGCGACGGCATGAGTTTTTGAGACCTCCCGTGCCCCTCTGCCAGGCCCCCAACGACGGAAACCATGATCGGCACGGGGCTTGTCTCAGCCGTCTCTGTCGGGGTACGTGAGCTTGTTTTCGGCTCAGGATTGGTCGGATTATTGTGGGGTGACGGCCTGATTTTGTGCACAGGGCTGAACTACCGTCGGACGCTGCACAACACCTGAGACACGGGATCGTGGCTTGGTGCGGTTCTGGTGGTGTTTTATGCCGGGCTCTCAGTGTTACCTTAAGCTTTATGTCCAGATCCGAGAAGCGGCCCGTTTTGAACGCCGGGTGCGAGCAGGCAATTGCAATTCCCGTGACCAAGCTGCCTGAAGCCGAGAACGCAGGGTTTGGGACGAGGGCGAAGTATGAAATATGTCAGGCTGCTGTTGCTGGTGGGCAACTTGATCCAGAAAGATTTTCCCAATGCCTCCAGGAGGCCGGCGAGCGGGGCCGAGCGATAAGCGTTAACCCGCTACAGGGTTGAGCTTCTTGCAAGTCCCATAGGTGCATCCAGTCTGTCCAGAACATCTCCAAGTGGGCATGCCCCGCGACGTCCTCGGCGGCCGCGTTAACACACATCCGTCAGCAACGGCTTCGCGAACATGAATGGCAGGACATGTTTGCTTACATCTTGCTGATGCATCTTGTCAAATGCCAGCCCCCCAGCACAGTCCAGCATCGTGGCTCCCACCGGGCTGCACATTATCGGCTGTTGCTCTCCGCCCTGTGCCGAGCATTGGCCCATCCGCCGTACCTCAAAGCCAATGGAAGACTCGATCTTGGGTTCACCTGCTTCAGTTTGTTCTGCCGTGGCCTCAAATTCTGGTCTTGAATCGCCTGGACCGTGAATCGCTTGCGTTGCTGAGGCTTGGGATCTACTGTCGCGAGCCGCACTCAGCTTTGAGGACACGATCCGTTTGCCGGGCTTACAGCCGAGGGCCCTTGGAATACGCGTTCCGGATCGGGAGCATGGTTGCAGGGAACCCAGACCTCGCCGCCTTGCTTGAGACTCTTTTTGGGGACAGTTGAACTCCCAGGCTTCCAGCAAATAGGCAGACCTGCATTCACTCTTCGGTGCTTAACAGAGCAGATCTGTTCGTGACAGGCAGGGCCCTGAACGAGCAAAGCCTGCTCTGGGTACCTGCCTAAGAGTGACATCATCTGCAGCCTTGAGATCACTCCGATTTGCAACTTTCTCTCAAAATCTAGGCTGTGACTGCGCTCTTCGTGTTGTTCGCCATCCCGTTCTTTTGGGGCCTCAATGAAACCGTCATGGCTCAGCCGACTGCATTTCGGGAATGCTGCGAGCTTTGCTGTCGCTCGCAAAATTCCGCCAGGCACTGAAAGTGGGTGAACTCGACCCTATGATCGAGATGACTGCTGCGTCCTCGGCTTCATTTACTTGTGAGCGGAACGGTCCCCCTCCTCACCCTATCGTGCTGTTAGTCCTTTGTCTTGCCTTTGTCCCCTGGTTTCTCGTCCTCCCTCTGGCGGTGGTGCCTCTGCTGTCGTTTGTCATTTTGCGGAACGGAAAGACAGAGCTTTCCCTCTCACTTTCTGACTTGCGTGAGTCCACCTCCAATAAATTTGGATGCTGACGAATAGAATGGAGACCCAAGTGAACTAGCAGTCAGGTAGGGGAGGGTTCTGCCGCGCGTGCCGCGCAGTGCTGGTGATGGAGATCACGGCACAGTTGGGCATAGCAGCCTCAGATGTGTGTGCAGTGTTTTGGCATGGGGTGCCGTGAGAGCCGGCCTTGCAAAGCAGCTCGTTGGTAGTTCTTCCTCACGGACGGCATCAAGTTTGCTTCTTGACTCTTTGACACTCTTTCGCACATGCCTGCTGGGGCGAAGGTGGCTCCAGCCAGAGGGTCTATAGACAGGGCTTCATGACATGGAGTCAGGCAGGTGAAGTTTCGTAGCTTCACAAGAACAGTCAGAGCTCGACGGTTAAGTGTAGAAACCGAAGTTGCTTCTTCTGTTTGGCCCACGCTTGTCTAGACGGCGCTCTCTCCCCGCCTCTCTATGTTGCTCCCTCTGATTTCTGCGCCGCTCCGAGTTGTCTTTCGTGGGCCTGACGCGCGAGAAGCTGAAGTCCGATGTGAGCATCATGTCAGCGCCTTAGATCCTAACATCCGGGTAGCGTGCAGGGGCTGGATAGTTTTATTGAAGGCTGTTACATCCAAAGAGATGCGACTGATTGGAGAAGAGCCTTTCTAGGTTGTAGCTGTGTGGTCCACAGATTTAGCAGAGGGGTACCGTCGTTGCGAAGCGGGAATGAACCTGCAACATTTGATATGTGAATCGCAATCCTGGATAAGAGCATAAGATGGCAAGAACGTAACTTTGGTGAAAAATCAGACCATGAGGGCATGTGCATTTACATGTCAGCAGATCGGTTGTGCAGCAATCGAAATCCACCAGACTTTGCAGACGCACTTCACAGCACCGTTGCTTAGCTTTTTCAGGAAAAGGCCCGAGTGCATGTGCTGCTGCCTTGCTTGCTCTTTCGGTTGTGTGGTTGGAACTACTGTTTCGATCCATAACCTTCTTCATACTCGTCATGTGCACCTCTCTGCATGTTTCAGGAACTGCTTGGGCACGCTTGCCTCCGAGATTTCTCACGGTGAGGCAGTTTTCTCACATCTGTTAAGTCGTCCTCGCATGAATGAACTTACGATTCTTGTCAGGTGAACAGCTTTATCGGCTTTGTCATGTTCCGCCCTGTTTGATCGATGCTCTCTTGTCCAAGGAGGTGTTGCACACCTCATCCCACGAGGTTCTCCGTGTTCGTGATTGGGATGACGTTACTGGACATGCTCGTGCCGGCCTGATCCAACACGGCTGAGACGGGTCTGATGGACTTCTCGTGCCTGTGCCAGGTCCTCCTCTGGATCGCGATACGTAGCTGGAGAGGACGTCCGGTGGCTCGCCGGGAACTCGAGCATCTCGATGTGGCGCATCGGGATGGCCAGTCTGCTTTCCTGCAACTCGTACTGGGAAGCCTTGCTTGGCTCATCCCGTTGGCTCAAAAGGGCTTCCTTCGGCAGAAGGAAGCTTGCAAGCCCTCCGAGGAATGTAGTTTCTCTCCTCTTCCCGCCTCCCTGCGGGTGCGCTCCCGGTACGTGCCTTGGATGCATAGCAGCGGCTAAACTTGGCTTTTGATGACCCGTGCACCGCAGGCTCTTTACAATGTCCCGTACCGTTCAGATGATGATACTAGTGGCATCATCCTCCTTGTGGAGCGGATCAGCGACACGACTGGCAAATGGACCTCCCTTCAGGAAACTCAAAGAAGTTATGGACCTTCTCGGTGCAATGAGGCAGAAGGTCCTGGACGAAGGACGGCAGCAGGCAGAGCTCTTTGACAAATTCCAGTGCTACTGCACGACAAATACGGCATCTCTCGCTGACAAGATTGAGACAGTCAACCGGCTCATTGAGCCTATGAAATCTGTGGCTTGTCACATAATTGTGTGCTTTCTTGGCGCTGGGATTCTTCCTGGGACAACTGAGCTTGGGGCATGTGTCAGGAAATCAGCGAGATCGACGGCCAAAGCAGCAGCTTGCAGGCAGAGCTCGAGCAGCACGTCCGGGATGAGAAGTCCGTGCTGGAGGGAACCCAAGAAGCTCGTCAGATCCGGCAGCGCACTAGTCGTCCGGCGTAAAATTGCGCACGTGAGTCTCCCTGGCAATGCACCTTGTAACTGCATGGCCCGTCCCTTGCTGAGGTGATGAAAACAAGGTGCGAGCCAAAGAGCTCTCGGAACACTTGCGATTAATGGATGATGCAATCAGTCGGATCCAAACCGGTGCAGGCACTAACTTTCTTCAGAAAGAGGTTCAGCAGATCCTGGAAAGGCGGGAGATCTTCGTCGCGAGCCTCTCAGATCCAGAGGCTTTGAGAACTCTCAGAAAGCTTCGACGTGACATTGCGCGGGACTACAAGGAGATCCTCCAGTCCGAGCAGTCATCGGCTGCCGAGTTTAGGGACCTGGAGATGTCGAAGGTGAAGGACCGCCGATCCTTGCAGCAGCAAATTCGGCAGAAGGACAGCCGGCTCAGCGATCTCAAGACTCGGCTGGTGCAGTTGAAGAAAGACCTTGAGCAAAGCGGCCAGCAGGTGGATGAAGACCAGCAGTCACTGGATGACTTGAAGGAGGTGTGTCGGCATAAAGGCGACGACTGGCAGAAGGCGGAAGCTAGGCGTGGCGATGAACTTGCCGCAATTTCCGAGGCCCAGACATTGCTGAGCCCAGATGGCTCTGCGGATGCTCCGAGCGCTTTGGGGCTTCTGGACAGAGGGGATGAACTTGGTCCTAGTCCTGCTGGCCTCAGTGGCCTTAGTGGCCTCAGTCTACTCCAGTTGCACTCCGGTCCACGACTTGGCACGGAGTTTGTATGGCTGGCCATGCGAGGAAATGGCCAGGGCCTGAAGAAAGTTATCACAGAAATCGAGAAGCACGTGGCAAACTTGGCGAAGGAGGAAATGTCGGAGAAGCAGAAGAAGCTTTACTGCCAGGCACAGTACAGCAGACTGGCTCAGCAGGCCGCAGAACTCAGCTCAAAGCGTGAGGATGGCGAGTCTGCGCTCAGACGCCCGGCCTGCAGAGAGACGGGAAGGGGTCTCATCGGGATCTTGTCTGAGTATTTTCAGGAGATCTTCGCGAAAAGCAAGAGCTGGCAGAACAGGAAATCAAGAAGGGGAGTGAGTCTCTTCAGGACGGAAATCTCTCTGCATGGGGGGCTCGGGAAACTTCGGGTTCAGTCTTTTCTCGGCCTCGTGCAAGGCGCTGGAAGCTTCCAAGCAGGAGGCGGAGAGCCTCCGACGCCAGGAAAGGGCAGAGTTTCAGAAGTTCGAGGCAGACGCGACCGAAGCAAAGGACTCTTCAGTGGACAAGCGACAAGAATTGCTGTCGTGTCATATTGGCGTGAGCGATTAGGACCTGCTGCAGAAGGCGATTCTGCGGCTACGTGCGACGTATGTAGCGGACAGTGGTCAAAGTCTACTTGAGGCCATTTTGGGGCGAGCGGTCTGCTGGGCGCGCAGCTGACGTAAGTCCGGATAAGTTCGCAGTGCATTCCCTGCAAGGCCCGCAGGCGCTTGCTCCAGGCGCTGCCACGAAATCCTCCCAAGACGGACTTCACTTCTTCGGGTGGCCAGGCCGTGTCGGAGAAGGCGGCCTTTGTGCTCGGACAACTGCTGTTTGTGCTGTCAGTAGCAGTTCGTGGACCCGGGGGACGACTAGGACTAGGAGCTATGCCGAAGCAAGTCACTCCAAACGAGTTGGAGAGGTCATCCTTTTGCTTCGAAAGCTGGTGAAAGACCTTGATGATGAAGTTGCAGAAGCAGAGAAAGCCGAAACGACCGGGCAGTTTGACCACCAGAACTTCTTGAAGGAAGTGCAGTGTATGTTTCAGTCTTCCCAATTACCGTGTCATGGTGCAGATAATGCAGCAATGCAGAGTGATCGGCAGGATGCTTCGAAACGAAGATCCAGGCAAATGTCCCTCCTGATCTCAAAGCAGCAAGCGAAGGCCACCGACAGGTACCTGATGCCTTCAGGTTCACCGTGGCTACCAGGGCGCTCGCTACCCGTAGTTGACTCAAAGCACTAAAGCGCTAGCCACCCCCACTAAGTGGTACGCGGCGAGGGGAGCTCTCTGCTCTCTACCTCCCTGCCTTGCCACGAGGCTTCCGTCCAGACGGAGCTGGCAGCTTTCAAGGAGCGCAGCGCTGGGACCTCGTCGGAGACCGCCCTGACGGTTGCTTCCCGCTTGGCAAGCTTTGCAAGAGGCCTCGCAGCACCGAGAAGAACGAGATCAAAAGGACACGCTCGTGTAGGGACTTCAACCTCCGGTCACAAGACGTCAAAGGCCCTCTCAATCTTTTCTCAAAAACAGTGAGATCCAATCTCTGAAAAGGGCAGGAAGGCAAGGGACAACGCGAGGATTTCCAAGCGGCTTCAGGATGATTCGCAAGTTGTACCTGCAGGAGCTAAAGGCTTCTTTGGACAGTGAATGCGCCAGGACCCGAGATGCACCAGAGAGCATGAGCGCAGCCAACGCCCTCCTTGCAGAATCATCGTTTGCAGTGTAACCCAGGCATGGCTGCTGGAAAACTGGGATGACAGAGTGGCCGCAAGAGAACGGGATGTTCAGGCATCGGACGGCTGGCTCGGATTTTGCACGAGCAACAGTCGATCTGCGAAGGCTTTGGCGAATGCCAAGGCCTCGATCCAACGTGCCCAGGACGATGTCATGCTGTGCACACACGCACACACGAGGTACTCGTAGCTCCTTGCCGCTGGCGGTCCGAACTTCTGAGCTGTTAGACGTGTGCGATCGTGTATGCTCACTGGCTCGTCTTGCGGTCAGGACAGCAGCCGCTATCGCAACCTGCGTGGTCGATAGTTCGCGACGCATGGCTGGTGCCGAAATGGCGCGCGTTGTGGTGGAAGTCGATCGAAAGTAGCACTGTTTGTGCCAGTTGTCGGCAGGTGCGTGGTCGCTTGTCTCTTAGCTGGTTGCTGAAGGTTGGATGCAGCTATCGTGGGTTCTGAAGAAACTGTCCGGTGCCAAGGGCCATGCCATGTACCAGGGCTGTTGCGTCACACGTTTCGAAGGCGTTTTGTGCGGGGGGAACTTTGGATCTAGGCATTGAGACTTGCTTTCAGCTTGCTAAAGATCTTCCATGGCTGCGATTCGATCTGATCGAGTTCTGCTGGGCCTGCTGGGACTGTGCGGAGTCCGCCTGCTTTTTGTTTAGGAGTTCGATAATCTAAAACCAGTTGGGGGCTGTTGGGCCAGTAACTCAATCGGTCGTTTTTGAAGCATTCTAGCTTCAGCACCCCCGAAATGATTTGATATCATCACGACCTCAGGTCGCGAATAGAACATGGGATCAGAATGCTCTGTGGTGTTTTGCACGTGTGCAAAGAGTGACAAGCATGGCGTAGTTCCTGAGAGTACAGTTTCCGTTCGCTTTTAAGTCAGTTCTCCAGTTCGTGTGTTCGCAAGAAGCATCCTCCGCAGCCGAGCTCCGAGGCCCGAGTGTTTTGAGGTTTTTCGTTTAGGTTCGCTGGCCGCCATGTCGTGGAGCAAGGGAGAACAGGCGCAGCAGGACTTGTGGTCCGCCCTCGTGACGGTAGCCGAGGCCGACATGGAGGACATCGAGTACCTGATGGTTCGCCTCCAGGACGCGGATCTCAACAAGATCCGCCAAGCTGCGCAAGCCGCTCTGGTCGCCTCCTCCCGCCTCCAGGCATCCGAGCAGGAGATGGCCTCCGGTTCGACTACCACACCCTCTCTGCCGAGGCAGTTTCGCAGGTGGTCGCCACTGGAAGCACCGACGACAGCCAGGTCGCTCCCACGGCTGGGATGGCAACTGGCGGGACAGCAACCACGGTCGCCAAGCCATCGGGGGCCGCGGCAGGAGCCGTTTCCAAGAAGGCCAGCAAGTTGGCTTCTACCGGACCTACGTTCGCCAAGGGCACCTCGCCTGGTACAGCTGCCGCCGCGAAGGCTATGACGGCCAAACCGGTCTCGTCAAGCCTCTTCCTGCAGACCAAGGGCCGAAAGGTTCGCCTCCTCCGGGACCAGGTGCCGTCGCCACCGAAGAAGCAGACCCCGGTGAAGTGTCCGCCGAAGGAGCCCGCGCCGCAGCCCGCTCCACCTGGACGCGAGGACCTCTCCTACGACACCGCAGACAGCCCCGAAGGAGCCGACGGTCAAGGCCATGCCCACCCAGGTCGCAGACGTGCAGACGCCGGTCGAGGGGGCCGCGGCAGCTTCGGGCACAGCAGAAGCCGGTTCGCAGCAGCCCGGCGACACGACGGTCCGGAGCCTGGACCACCCGGACCGCGTGACCCACCGCAGTTCGCGCCGCCTCTGAGTCGATTGGCAGATCACCGAGGAGTTCCTTTTCGCGTCACCACGCAAGGGCCGCATCGATAAGCTGTCAGAACAGATCCGAGAAATCTTATCGTCGGACACCCTGCATCCGCAGGATGCTGCCAAGCTCGCCGGTAGTCGGCAAGGCACTGCTCAAACCGATTTTCGCTCGACAGCACAGCGGCCTCCAGAAACCTGTCGCGCTGGGATCACCGCTGAGAGCCGCATTGAAGGAGTCTCAATCCGGATCTGAAGCCGATGCGGATCCCGCTCAAACCTTCGGAGGTGCCAGTGTTCGTGCTGTACGCGGACGCGTACATAACCCTGTCAGGTTCGTCTCGTACAGCAAACCGGTGGCTCAAGGAAGGGGTCCCCCACGCAGTCTTGAAGGGCAGCACCAACGGTTGGGGCGCAGTTTTTCTTTCGCCGACAGGACGACGGACAGCTTTTAGATCACAGGTTCCGCAGGACGTTCTCGAGAGAACAGCAACTTCGAAGGCTTTCATTTTCTGGCTCGAGATGCTGGCTCAAGTTCTTTCAGTTCTAGTGGTCGCTGCGCAAGTTCGAGGACACGTCTTGTGCTTCGTGGACAACTCAGCCGCCGAGCACGCCCTCCAGAAAGGATTCTCCAAGGACGGTCTTTTCACCAAGGTGCTAGGCTGCTTCGCAAGACTCTTGGCCTCAAAAAGCATCGCGTTGAGTTTTCACCGAGTTTCGTCCGCAGCCAACGCCTCCGACGGAGTTTCGCGAGACGACTGGTCGATGGCCACATCACTGGGCTGTGTTCGGCAAGACTTCAACTTCTCGTCCGCCTACGAGTGGCTCCGGCACCTCCCAGAAACACCTGAAGACGCTCTCTTCACCAAGTTCGTGAAGTTCGCGGAGGATCTCTGCGCGCAGAGTGTGGGAGAACAGCGCGCGAGAGTGGAGTGAGTCGCGCTGTTCGTACAGAACGGAGGGTCGCGAGTTGGGACCTGAAGGGTCCCGGTTCGCAGACCAAGAAACCGCTCCAAGACTTTCGGGTCGGGAAAAAGAACGTCCGAGAGTCAGAGGCGAATACTTTCGCCGTGTTCGTAACGAAGTGGTGCTTGTCGTGTTTTGCACGTGTGCAAAGAATGACAAGCATGGCGTAGTTCCTGAGAGTACAGTTTCCCCTTTTA